CACGTTGACCGCCAGATGTCAATTATGTAATCTTACTTCAAATGTTAACTTTCTATTAGCCAACTTAGGTAATAAAAAATTTCAAATGCCTCGTTTTTGTATTATATTTTAAATAAGTTTTTCCATAAAAAGTTTCTTTTTAGTTGCCATTACGATATTCATTCCTGTCATAAATGTCAGGTGCAAGTTATTTGCGTTTAAATCAACGAAAAACTCGTGGCTGTAGCCTTGATGGCAAAACCATAAAAGTGAGATTACTAGTGGTCGGCGTCATAATAAAAACTGCTAACCACGAGTTGGCAGTCAATGTGTTAAATAATTCTTTTTTTCTGAACGTTTTCAGTTGACTTCCATTATCGAGGTTTACTTAAATAAGATTGGCAATTCAACTTGATCCTCTCCTAATCATCTCACTGTTTTTACCACTGAATATGCTTTTGATTTAAAAATTCCTTTTCGTTTCATTCAAATAGTTTCATTCATTTGAATCGACGTTGATTATGCCTTGTAAATCTTTCCGTATATGCATTCGTCAGTTAATATGAAGCTAATATATTTAAAAATTTTTCTGTTTTTTTTTAAGTTAATATTCGCATTTTGCAATAAATTCAGTTAAAATGAGATTCTTTGTAACAGTGAACTCAATAACTTAGAAGGGTAAAACAGTTTTTTTTATTCTTTAAAACGAAGTTTTAAATCAAATAATGATTAATATTCATTTTTTTTCTTTGTTTCTGTCATTTTTGCTGCCGAGCAAAAAATCTTTATTGTACTTTTAATTTAGAAAGCGAGAAAGAAAAAAAAGTTTAGCGTTTTATTTATTACAATCAGGAGACATTTATCGAGAAATTGTATGGGAGAATTTCTTGTGAATCGATAATCGGTTATCAGGGGTAAAAGAAAAGAAAATGGTCAGAAACAATAAATTTTCTGATGGAAGAGAAAGGAGGAAGTTTGGTTAATGCTGAACTTATTCGAGTGTGTCATAGGGACACGATACATTGCTGTTATATAGAAATAAATTGACCAAGATGGACACTATGAAATGGCAGGTATTTACTATTCTTTTTATGCCTAATTATCTATCAAGCTTCAATCACTTCATATCTATCTATCTATCTATCTATCTATCTATCTATCTAGCATACTCAGATTTATCTCCCTCTATTTACTCTCTCAAATGTTCTGTCTCTCTGCTTCTTTCTCTTTTTCTGTCTGTCTGTCTGTCTGTCTGTCTGTCTGTCTCTCTCTCTCTCTCTCTCTCTCTCTCTATATATATATATATATATATATATATATATATTAAAGAAAAATATTATGCTTTTGTTTTACAAAAACAAAGCATAATATTTTTTCTAAATAAATCCACATTACAACCAAAAACGTTAGCGGCACCTCTTTCTTTTTAATATACATACTTTTTTCTCGTTGGAACCACTACATTATATTTCTTATATATATATATATATATATATATATATATATATATATATATATATATATATATATATATATATATATATTTAGTCTGTTCATATTCATCTATTGTCCTCAAATTTATCTTCCCCTATTTTACTGCCTCAACTGCTCTTTGCCTCTCTCTCTCTCTCTCCCCCTCTCTCTGCATTTTTGTTTCTCTCTCTCCACACACACAATACACATATATATATATCCCTCTATTTTTGTTTCTCCACTTCCCTCTGTCTCTGTCTATCTTTCTTTCTCTCTCTCTCTCTCTCTCTCTCTCTCTATATATATATATATATATATATATATATATATATATGTATAGTGATTTTCCAAGCATAGCTTGGATGTGGCTCAAGGCCAAGAGTAAGGGGCACCCAGTGAGGTTCGAACTCAGTACTCAGTAGTAATAGAATGGAATTTTGAAACTCATAAACAGATGTCCTAAAGGACACATGGATCAGTGGATAAAGACGTTAGTTAGATCCAGTGACTAGACACAAAGAGTTGTGAGTTCAATACCTGGCCACACTAGTGGTGAACCAAACTTGGAGAGTTAAGTTAAATAGAAATAACTGAGACATCCGGAAGAGGCATGGCTCGTGGAACTAGAACAATCTACTCTGGTGGACGAAATAAAAGGTTTGGTTTGGAATCCCAGTCATCTGAAGAAGGCCGGAGCGTATAACGGCCGAAACGTTGTGAATATGGCAATGAAGATGAGGATAACAGTCCGCATAACGTAAATGATGCAAGTATTCCAACAGTAAATATAGTAAAATAATTGCCAAATTTCTGCAATTATGCATTCATGTAATATAATGATTGGTCATGCATTTCTATAATAAAATAATTCACAATGCATTTCTGTAGTAAAATAATTAGAAATGCATTTCTGTAGTAAAATAATTAGAAATGCATTTCTGTAGTAAAATAATTCGCAATGCATCCAGATTATACATATAATAATAATCTATCAATAATTCTAGCCTTATTTCCTGACCACCGACAATGTTTTTCCCTTAATTTTTGAGGTAATGAATATGCATACACCTGGGTTCTCCCTCACAGTAATATGATGTCAGTCATAAATACAGACTGATGTCGAAGTATAGGACGACGCCTATAGTCTTCGCCTATTGCCTATGACTATTGTCGACCAGTACGACGAGGACCAGTCCATTACGGTTACCTGCTAGATTGTCCTACTCGGTTACAGTAGTCAACAACCACTTTGCTACTTCAAACAAATATATCCCTTTCCGGGACATATCAATTTTCAATGCACAGCATGTAGAATGAGTACTTGAACATGTTTAAATGAATTTTAGTTAAAACATTTTCAAATACCCATGTTTACTCATGAATGTTTTCTTATGGTCATAAGTAAATGACTAAATTGAGGTAGAAGGGAGAAGTGATGATATCAGTGAGGTGAGAGAAAAAGAACTTGTCCCAGCATACCAAATTAAAATGGGATCAACGGTTAGGAAAGAGCATCTTTGTCCATGTTTTTCTTGCAGGTAATATTTTCTGTGTTACTGTAAATGTCATCATTAGAGAGAATGTAAATTCTGATGCTTTCGTTGAATTCACGCTGTAATATCACGTGTTAAAGACCAGCGAGTAATTAAGCAAAGTATAAAATGGAAACGGTTAAATATACGCACATGATGTAAGGATTGAGAATCGAGAATTGTTTCTTGGAATCTGCTTCCCGTTCCGGTACCAGTGCACTGTGGGAGTCGGGATACCTGTGGCCTGGCATGTGAGCAGGAATATCAGACCGCTAAACACGTTCATTTTCTCTGGTGGGCGAACAATAATTTTTGGAACCCGAGCTGAGAAAAGAAAATACGATTTAATGTACAGAATAAAAAAGGTAAATTTTTGTTCGTATCAACAACGGCAGTAATGTATTTTATCGTGATGTATACCTTTTTATTCATTCAAATAAGGCCCAAGGGTTACTCAAGGTAGAGGGTTAATAAATCAGGCTGTTGTAAGAACGTAAATGTAGAAATCAAGAAGTAAATATTATGAGGATATGTGGGATAGATAATGGTTTGGCCGTAGACTTGATGGGGTTAATACCGTAGTGATCGGGATTTCTTTCCCATAATGCAGCCACACTTGGGAAACTGTTCGAATGTAACTTCCTCCTTACAAATGGAATACAAAGGGAATGTAGGGAAGTTAGCGTTATGTACACGGCATGGTTGGATCTCTCTGTGAATGTCTGAACGGGTAGGGCTAAGGAATATATCTCATCTTAACACTTGCCTCTATTGAGAATCGTGTTTGTGATTTTTCAGAACTCGGGGAAATGAAGGTTTTAGTTTTCCAATTTGGTTTGAACTGTTTACTCATAGCTGCACTGCATTTTCCAATTACCTCTTGCACAAGTTGCGAATAGTTCTAAATGTGCCAAGAGTTTTATTACACCGTTCCCTCCGCTAGAGATGATAGTGGTAGTTACAGGGAGATATAACTGTAACTGAATCAGTTGTGAATCAAGGCTGGTTATTTGTCCTATGTTGATACGTTTTCGTGGATAAAACTTTCTATACCATGAATCTATTATATAATTAGGGAAGCTGTTCTGAAACATCCATTTTTGAGTTTCTGCAATGAAAGATCTGATGCTATCCCAATCAGCTTTGACATATAGTTAGAACCACCGACACCTTTTTGCAAATTAATTGAAACAAAAGGAATAATTCTGTTATTATTTACTTTTTTCGCATTCTTTCAATGAAACAGGATCCATTGAATATGTTAGTACTTCGTATGTCCATTCCACGAAGTCGTTCCTTAAAGATTGACCACAGGTACTCGATTGGATTTAAATCAGGAGAGTTTCCAGGCTAGTCTATAGTATTTTGATTTGCTCACTGGTAAGGCTTGCCAGAGTGTTTGTGCAGTGTTACAATTTTCATACGCTTTCTGGGAGTAACATAAATCGCAGACATTTGCTGTAGGACAGTCGAGACAATAGTGTCTGGGCGTGATAAAAATCTGATGCAATCACGGATGACGTAATATTTTTCAAGACCAAACAAATTTCATCATACTCCCCGAAAATAAATTCATATCAGTGCACACCACTGCAAATGACCTAATCTGAGGGAAAATAGAAATCGATTATACCCTGTCATTCCAGCGGGTCTAAAACTGACCGCATGGTGAAAGAAATGGTGTAGAAATGGTATATGTGAGGATGCCTTTCGTTTGGTATCAATTTTGACAAATGGTCTGAAGTACCCAAGAGAGGTAAAACTACAGTGACACATTGGTAAACACAAGAGGTGAGTAAGAAATCTATGGGGTTTGCATAATGTCCAGTTATGTCAGGAACATAATTAGGTTTATGCACGACTTGAGTCAGTCTATAAACGATGGAGGTGCAATTACAGTGTTTACGTTCTTCACCAGTGGGGTAACAACTTCTTGTGGCGAATATTGAAATTGCCACAAATATGAATGATAGCTGAAGGATGATTCAAGAGGATATGATCAATTTTATAAAACATTTTGTAAAACATTACATTTCCATCATCCTGAGGCGGTAGAAATTGAAGAAAAAAGACATATCATGAAAGAGCTATGAATGGTAGGCCAGGATCTTCGTTTTATATATCTCTTCAACAGGGAAACCCATCACTAATATTATGCCTCCAGGCCGATGCGCATGATTATAGCGATTTAATGTATTTTCGCTTTCTTTTCAAGACATTTGTAACCTCCTCCAACTTCTGTATGATCTATATTTGTAGTCTTGTACCAGACTATGCTATGTCTAGTAAATAACTAGGGTTGCTCAAAGAGGGACTAATAGCGAACTAGAACATTAAAATTAACTCTTAAGTGTCGAAGTGAAGGATGTTTATTCTATTTTAGTTTTTTTTTAAGGAAATATTCCGACGCCCCGACAAGGTTAAAATAAATAAACCACATCGTTTATTAATTTCAAACTTTTTGACCCTTTAAATTATTTTAAGGCTGACCGCTTTTATTAAGATCCCCTTTCACGACATTTATTTTATATTTAGAAAATTCCGACAACCCTATTATAAAACCCCGAAGACTTTTATCCAAAAGTTTAATTTAACATGTGGGCCTTTTTTTTTTCGGAAAATATGTACCTTTTTCTAAAACAAGTAATTTTATAGAACTTATTAGTACCTTTATTCAAAAGTAAAAAGAACTGAGTTAAAATCAATAACTATTATCCACTGGTATATTATCATAAATATAATAATAATCATATCATTTAAATTTCTCTTTAAATTTAACAAATATAGAAATGAATACAATATGGGAACCAGTAATAAGGAGTGCCAGAGAAAATATCAACAAAAATTGCAATATGAGCTCTGGTAAAAATATGCAATGATAACAGAAAAATTGCAATATAAGCACTGATAAAAAAAAATGATATCTGAAGACATTAGGATTATAATACCCAGAAATTCATACACAGATGTCGTCAAGGACACACGGCACAGTGGATAAAGGCGTTGGTTAGATCCAGTGAAAGAGTATGAGTTCAATACCCGGTTAAGGCGGTGGAGAACCTTCAGCAGATAACTGATAACTGACATGCATTAAACATGACACATGGAACTAGAACAGTCTACCCCAGTGAGCAAAATAAAGGGTTCAGTTCGACATTCCAACCGCCTGAAGAAGGCCGGAGCGTAGAACGGCCGAAACGTTGTAATAAATATGGTGACAAAGATGAGTACAATAGTCCCAATAATATAAATAATGTAAATATAGAGAAATATAATAATCGATCTTAAATTAGATTAAATTCATTAATCGATATTAAAACTGTTCGATCATCGCAGTAAAGTAAAAAGTAAAGAAATACTCAAGAAAATATGTAAAATAAGAATGCTGGCAAGATGAATAAATAAAATAATTTATCTTGAATAATTGTACAAATATTTTGAATAGATTTACTAATATGTCTGAATAACGTTCCATATTTACTAAGTTAGTAAAAAGTTGGAATATATGCCAATATATTCAGAATGAAAGTCAATCTATTTAAGTGGCCGTATTCATGTTCTGAATAAAAGTACTTATTTTTGGTTAATCCATAGTGCATATACTCTGAATAAAGTCCATACATTTTAAATAGATTTATTTGGGGTAACGAAGATACGGCTAGCCTTACGGTTATTGGCGAGTCGAATTCAAATTCCAGCCTTTGTTGAATTAATGCCCTAGGAAAAGTCAAGAATCGATCTCTTGTCCCTCACACCCAAATCTACTGGTTGGTAGCCAGTCTAGGAGATGGATACTCTGAAATCGTGGAGTGGAAAACTACTTTCCTTAAAAATCATAGCAATTCACACTTATTAAAGAAACAGAAATTGGAGAGAGCCATGATCTGAGAGGGATATAGCATTTAAAAATGAGGTAAATATTTATAGATTCTGAATAAGGGAACATATAATTTGAATAAAGGTACTTATATTTTGAATAAAAAGTACTTCATCAAGTCACAAGTCCCGTGACTTATTAGGGTCATAGGAGCACCACACGTACTGCAGTTGTGTCTGCGGTAAGATGTATTGGGTTTGGCAGACTGACCGAGTACCTATACCTAGTTTTGAATTCAGTATTTTCCTTCTCATAGGCAAAAAAGTACTATTTGACCCATAGCGGGTGGAGAGTAGAGCGACATTCCCACCTTTCCGATGGTGTGCAAAAGTGAATGTAACAAATGAGGGCGGGGTTCGAACTCTGCGCTCCGTGGCTGTAACCGTAACACGACTCGCGTATCACTACTAAATATCACTTACATTTTCAGTAAAATGTAATTTATCGATATAGTTAAATTATATATAAGAGGAGGTGCTGAAAATTGTCAAGCTGAGCCAGTTCCAAAATTTGATCCAATGATCAAACATTAAAATGACTCTTGACTGAGCCGAAAATCTTTGAGTAACCCGTTGTACACACGAAAAGAAAAAAAATCCGATATCTATGATATCTATTTCTTTTATCAAAACGACGGGTGGTCATCTTGAGACTCATCTTCTTCTTTCTTTTATGTTCCGTATCCCTTCAGGACGTGGACGATTATGGCCCTCCACTTCCTCCTATCCCTTGTAACTCTCAATAAGTTTTGTCCCTTTGCTACTTCCCCCAGCCCATGTTCTGTCATCCACTTGCTTAAGCCCACCAGGTATGTCATGCGTTGCTTTCCGTTGTCTCTCTTTCCCTCTATTCGACCTGTGGGTATCAGATTCTCCAAGCCCTTCTTTCTCATTACGTGTCCCAGAAATTTCAGCTGCCTTTTCCTGATGTTAAATATAAGCTTCCTCCTTGTTTGCATCCTCTCCAAAATCTTATCTTTGCTTACACGCTCCGTCCATGATATCCTTAGCATCCTTCTGTAGAACCATACCTCCGTTGCCTCGAGTCTCTTCTTCATCTTTAAAGAAACCGTCCAACTGTTTAAATATTCTTTTAGATTGGGTGTATTTTGTAAGAAAAGAACAAATTTAAAATGCAAACCGGTTGAAGAAGTGTTACTATACCAGGCAATCGACAGCAGAGCACGCCAGTGGCCATACCAAGCTGATGATGACAGGCTCTGTGGAAATGAGAGTCAACGCAACAACTAGCATCTATGCGCCCGCCAGAGATGCATGAAGTCAAACCCTGGTTCTGGTGGGAACAGCTCTTTCCTACCCCGGCCAGGTCGTCCTGCAAAATAAAATAAAACACATAAAAGAATTGCAAACGTTAACTTCTTTTAATTCGTATGGTCTGGAAACTGTAACCAAGTGTGCATGTTTTGTTTCTTTTTTTTTAATGTTATTTAAATTCGAGCTAAAAAAAACCATTGTTGTTATTATCCCAACGTTTTGTTTATTGTACCATTTGACCTTTTTATTCAGGGATACGATCACCGAAGTTAAGCAACGTCGGACCTGGTCAATACCTAAACCACTTGGGAATACCGGGCCCTTTGAGCTTGCGGGTAGTGTAATGGATAACGGATTGAAATTGAAGATCTGAGAGCCGAATTACAATTTCACATTTCACCTCCCCCACCATGTGTTAATTAGAGAGGCTTTTACCATTACGATGGAGTAATGGATATCGGCTCGGATTGAGGAATCGGAGAGCTGAGTTCAAATTCCAGTCGAATCCATTGCATTCATTTACTTGCTAATATTCATAGCAAAGGTATGAAACCTCGCCTTTTCCCCCCCAGACATGGGTAAATAGCAGGACAGACCGGGTTCTATAGCCTTGGATGGCACTGGTCCACCGCAGAAAAAATGACAACCTCCTGCGGGAAAAAAAAATCTGCCTCGTCAGTCATGTATCGAAAGATACATGATCGCCTAAGCGTGTATCACGCATGGCACATAACTGACTGTCTCATTAAATCATTATTATTTCCAGCAAATTATTAAAATCTAAAATATTTTCTCGTTTTAGATACCTGCAAAGGGTTGATAAGCCGTAAAATACAAACCAATAAATCAATAATTGGTTTTTAGGTGCTTGTTGATCCGGGTAACCTCCATGGAATGTCAAGCTAAACCCTTTATTTAATCAACGGGGGTACGTTGTTCTTGTTTCTCTGTACATGTCTAGGAATAGTGTGTCTTGTTATTTTTTTTAGTACTGCTTAGTTACTGATCGCTTTGGAGAGACTTAGTCAAAGTCTGTACTACCCATTCCAAGATTTTAACTCATACTTACTATATAACCAATTGATGATTCGTAGTCATGTGAGAAGAAGATTCTTGGGATAAATTACAGAAGTAGGGTACCCAGGCCTACTCGGATAACGTTCTTGCTTGCCGCGGGATCCCCACAGACGCAGAGACAGGAACGACCAAAAGCCGCCGGTTGCCGATGCAGATGCTCCTTGGATTTTCACCAGAGCCCTTGTTAGCCGGCGTGTGTGTCAGACCTGTCCGCCTTGGGTGGCCCGACCAGGAACGAAGTTCCGGACGGCATAGCTTTGACACTACCGTTTACACCCCCCACCCAACCGACTGTGAGGTAAGGGTTGGACTTTTGGGGGCGTCTGCGATGGTTCAACACGCTGCGCGCCGGTCGAGACGGGAGCTGATACGGGACGTTCTCCTTCCCACATCGCCGTCCACCTGGCGGAAGCGGATAGGCGGACAGCTGAAGACGTGGGCCTCAACGATCAAGGAGGATCTGGCGTTACTTTCCGGCCCGCATGTGGTCGGCCTCCGCCTCTGGAACCGCGACTGGCTTACCATCTCGTGCGACCTCGCGACAGACCGACGGGCGTGGGCAGCAATGGTCCATGATGCGGTGCGTCAACAGGAAGAAGCCGGCTCAATCCGCCCAGGGTGAATGCCGCATCAAGACAAGACAAGAATATAACCAATTAGGTTATTGTCTATGATGTCCCACTTCTCATCATTAAAATTACAGACAAAAGACTTTTTATTATATTTAAAAATTTCATTTTCGAACTGAAAGTGAAAATTTTTATAAAGAGTAAATGATAAATCAAAAATGTAACATTTAAAAAAAAAATAATACTAATCTTATTTTGGTATTTAAAAAATCCTGAATTTTCAAATTTAATAAGGGACGTATTAATTTCTGTTCAATAAATAAATCATTTTCCTTTCTTTTGCCAGAGTTCGAAATAATATATTCTATATCAAATAAAACTTTATATATTTATTGGTCACAGAGCCTGTTTTTACCTACATATTAATGAAATTTTCAGTTGTTATGGTAACAGAAGGCATTACTCAACGTTAATAATAGGTCATGCCTCGTGCTACCAGAACAAATTAATATCTTATTAGTAAATTATAAGAACAGGTTTCTAATACATTTCATTTCATTCATTTTCTTTTGTACTCGCTTTCTTTCAATATTTTTACACTGAATAATTTTAAAAGCATAATTCTTATACGTAACAACAATACATGTGTTAGATAAAATTTTTAGATGATGTATTCTATAAACAAAGCAATTGCAATCATAAAACTGAATATATTGAAAAACAAAAGAAATTAAGTTTGAATTTTAAGTTTTTCTTTGACAATCCAGAAAAAAATAATGAAAAATTGCAAAAGATTTGATTGAAAATTTCTTAACAAAACGGAATAATCTACACATAAATAAGGGATTTTCAAATAAGGAAAGGTGTGTTGAACTGTTATGTAATATATGTCCTCCTATACGGTAACGAAATCTGAAAAAATTCCTAAAAGATGAAGAAGAAACACGAAACAACATAAATGCTGAGAATATTATCGATTTAATATGTGAAAAACGAGGAAGTTTTAAAAAAGATGGAGACACTTCACTTCTACATAGAATCAGAAAGAGAAATTTTTAGGTCACAATGAGAAAAATGGGCTTAAGAAAATTGGCACTCAGTGGGCACATTGAAAGCAGAAGGAAATGGTGAGTAACGTACCTAACGAACTTGTGTAAATGGTTTGTAGAACAGGCAGTTGGGGTGATTGTAAAAGGAGAAGCATTAATAAGAGCTACAAAGGATATGAAGTAGTGGAGAGCGATGATCGCCCAAGTCACAAAGGGACAGGTCACATAAAAGAAGAAAACTAGCCATGGGGAAATGGTTTGCAATCTAATTTCTCAAGGAGATTAATTTAATCCGTATTGGGTGCTCTTGCCATTGTTTCAAAACTGAACATAATAGATGATCCCTTGATACAAAATTCAAACAAATTTGCTTTAATTTAATCAAAACAGAAAAGTTAATAAACTCAATGATGAATGTTATGGAATTCATACCAATTTTATTCTGAAAGAAAACAAAGTAAAAAAAGCAATAAGATCTGTCTATGTTTCTCAGATGAGATAATGTAACCATTTGCACTATTTCAATTGTTCAGACTGTTGCCCTCATCTTTATTGCCATATTCACGATGTTTCGGCCATTGTACACTCCAGCCATCTACAGGTGATATTTGTTTGAATTTCGAACCGAACCCTTTATTTAATGCATGGGGGTAGATTGTTCTAATTCCACATGCCATGCTTTTTGGATATCTCAGTTTCAGTTAATTCCCCTTAGTAACTTAACTCTCCTGATTTTTTAGGGACTTTTAAACTTAATGTCTCCCTAACCTTTTTTTACCAGAGCTCATATTACAATTTCTTTCTCTAGCTCTCTGTATTACTAGCTCCTATATTGTATTCATCTTTATGCCTTGGTCGGCGTAGGTAATATTTGTAGCCTGACAAATGGGATAATTCCTTAAATTTTTGTTAGGTTCTACTATCTATCTATCTATCTATCTATCTATCTATCTATCTATCTATCCTAGTCTATTCATATCTATCTGTATATCTGTATATCTATCTATCTATCTATCTATCTATCTATCTATCTATCTATCTATCTATCTAAGTCTATTCATATCTATCTATCTATCTATCTATCTATCTATCTATCTATCTATCTATCTATTGAGCGCGTGACCGAGTGGTTAGAACGTCCGCGTTCAAATCTCACCATAGTCGATTTGTCAGGAAGGTGACTTCCTGGTGTTATCGTTCTGGTGGGGGGACGATCTCATTGGCGACACCTTTGAAAAGTGGGTTGATCCAAGCTTTGTGAGTGAATTTGGGTAGACAGAACACTTGGGGCCGTTAATAGCTGTGTTAGCACGAAGTCACAAGTGACCAAGGGCTTGAGTGTGCTGGCGTTGTTCAGATTGGTGATCATACTAGATAACACGCTCTCTCCCAGAAACTGTAACTATGGTCTGTTCAGCATAGTTGCAATATAAATTTGTTGGTGTTAAGCAAACACAAATGTGCCTGAGCGAGAGTCTGCAATAGAGATTGGCTAGCCACCCTTATAGATGGGTATCCTCGAATACGATTGGCCAGCTATTATCTATCTATCTATCTCAATTTTTTAATATCTATCTATCTATCTATCTATCTAGCCTAGCCTCTATATACCTACCTGCCTCACTATCTTTTATCGGAAATCATATCAATAGATTTGTTTGTTAAATTGGGCCATAAATCCGTTGAAATAGGGAAAATCATTAATGAGAAGAAATTACTTTCAACGTAATTACATTACAATTTCTCAGGATATAAGATTAGTCAAATGAAACTCCTATGGAAGTAAATTCGGGAAAGTCATTAATAACAAATAAATTAGATGAAAAAATAACATTAAAACAGAAAAATTAATTATGTTCAATACACCTTCGAGTTATTTCTATGACTTTTCTCGTAAGTTAATTACGAGAGCTAAGGTGAAAAAATTGGAACAAATAACTTACATATAAATTGACCGAGAATCAGAAAATACGCATTTTTCCACTGATTTTTGAAACATTTCTTTATTTATAATAATTTTCTCCATAAAAAATCTTTATACTAATTGAAAAAAATGATTAAATAAATGTTGTTATTATTTAAAATATAATGTTAAAATCGGACATTTTATGTGGTATGGCCCAAAATATAAAAGAAGTTTTGATATTGGCAGTAACACATCAAATCCACCAGAATGGTACTTGAACCATTTTAGAATAAAAAATGGCATGATAATTTTATTGTAGAAA